TCTCTCTCTCTGCCTGCCTGCCTGCCTGCCTGCCTGCCTGCCTGCCTGCCTGCCTGCCTGCTTCCCTTAGTAGTGGCCAAAATTGTAGAAACCTTTTGGGAAAAGTGTATTTTTGAGGTTTGATGGCTAATAACACCACTTTTTTGGAATAGTACCATAAAATTATATACCTGTCCATTTACAAATCTGTCCATTTCTCCTCCTCCTAACTCCTTGGTCTCACATTCATACTCAAGATACATAGGAAGATATGTTTTTCACAAAAAGCTCTACCTGACACAAAATCATTACTGCAAATATAAGAAACCTTATTTTATTTCACATAAGGTTGCCAAATGTATTCTCTCTTTTTGTGAAACATCTAATTTGCAAGCATTTCAGAGCCTTATATGCCATAAGACCAAGAAGAAAAATAAATCAATAGATGGTGTCATTTCTAATAGAAACCAGACCCAAAGACTTGCCACAGATTTTAGAAAACATACAATCTTTTTTTCTTGAAGAGCTAAATAGTGTCTCCACAACTGAGCAAAAACAAAACATAAAAAAACAACAGGACTCAAGCTAGTTTTAAACTATATGGGCTGTGCAAGATGAAAATAAATTGTTAGATGGTTGAAGGCCTTGTATTCTTTACCAATGTTTGGAAGCAGAACCTGCCAGCTATATAATAAACCCTAGATGGTATATATGCATTGCAGAACTTAGCAACGACCATTTTTCCTGTAGTGATGACTCCGGTGTTATAGATCCAGGCATTTGACTGAAAGAGGTAAACTGCTGCATGGCATCCCAGCAACATTTAACCTTTACAGCCTAGCAGTATCTAATTACCAACCACATTCAGAATCCAGCTGAGATGATGGTAGCGGGTGAGACTAGAGAGGTGAAAGGCAAATTACTAACGTAATGTCTGGCTTGAAGATACTGCCTCAAGCCTGCTGCCATTAAAATATGAATAAAGTCTGTGTGGGAAAGAGGAAAAGGGGTGTAGGAGATGGGTGGATAATGTAGCACGAAAAATAATAGTCATGCAGGTCTGTGCTAGTTCAAAGCCTCATTAGAAGAATTACAGCTGTAACAAGAGAAGGATGGTTAAGTGGTTAAACCGGTATCTCTGTTCACAGCAAAATATATGAAAAACACCCACACAACAGTCAAACTTAATTGGGCTTATATCTTAAAACATCTGCTGCACTGCTACAGTCATTGCACTGATGCAGAGAGGCTATTCAATTTATCAGTAAATCAGAATGAGTTAACTATCCAGAGTCAGGTTATACAGGGATTCCTACCAATTAACAAGTTTTGACCACAGGGCTAATGCTCCATTATGCAGGTTCTAGCAACTTGCTGAAGTGGCAGACATGGGGGAGAATTATCTCAACTGAGATCAGTTTGTCGCATACAGACTATTAGAAACTTGACAAAAAGGTTTCATAATATTCATAAACCAGGAAGACAAAGTAATAAAAAGCACAGCACCCTCATTTTAATATGCTTTCTTTCTTTGTTGATATAATTAAGGGTGATAGTAGAACACATGAAAAAACTAACTCCCACATGGACATATACAGTGAGGAAAGAAAAAATATTTTATCCCAACAAAATTATGACACTGAAAACATTCAAGCCCTTGGGATTAAGTGTCCCTCTCAAAGCAGGGCTGTATTTTTAACATTTCTAGAAAAAACAATGCCATGCCTTGCTTTCCCAGTCATCTCACCCTCCCTGTAAGATGTAGACTGGCTTGCTTCATGATCTACGGCCATTATATGTCTTGCTTCCTATCAGTTAATTGCTAGTGAGTGGGAAATAGCTCAGGGATCTGATGTTAAATGAAATTGTCCTACCTATTTACAGAGGGGAAGGGAGAAATGAAAAATCACAACTATGTTACTGGCAGCAAACCCCATTCTCCTTATGGGAAGCTCTAACTTCACATTCCTTGGAAAAAGCTACAGCTGGGAAAGTTACTGCAATTTTGTGATTAAAAAATAATATTTGTACATATAATTTTAAAATTCAGTCTCTGCAAAGGGTTGGAAATGATTCCAAGCTTGGTAGACAGCAGTTTTCTAAAAGCCTAGATTTTAAGAAAACTTTAAGAAAGTTTTGCAAAAAAAAAATTTAAAATTTTTTGCCCACATTATACTAGGAACATATGTCACACTAACAGCAATATGTGGTTTTACTACCACAAATTATTGAAACATTACTTTCACTGTTCTAATAAACATAGCTCCCATCGTAAAGTTTAGGCTCAGTTTTGCAGTTTTAGGTGTGTTCTATCTAGAGGTTTGAAAAACCCACATCAACAAGCAACATACAGAATCAAAAAACAAAGCAAAGTAAAATAACTGCAATCAAAGCTATGAGTTAAGTGTACTTGAAGTACTTTTTAGAACTACAGTTTATTAATTAGATCACGGTGTGCCTAACTTAATAACTCGTGAACTCATACAACCTATCACCTTAACTAATAAATGCAGAATTATTTTTCAATACCTCAACAACACATAGCAGCTTTGTTAGCAGAGAAAGAGAGAAAGGTCCCAAAGCTGCGAGATTAGAAGGGGAGCTCTCAATGGCAAGTAAGAATTGCTTATAGACTGCTTTTTACCCAGTATTAGTTAGGTTTGGAAGGTGCAGAAAGCAACTAAGCCACAGTATTAGCATCTTAAACAATTTAAATCAATGGTCTCTATTGTTAATTTTTTAAATTCATTTTTCATTTTCATTTTGCAAAAATACTTTTGTATGTTTGAATACAAGATTGTCTCGAAAAACACTGCACACATGTTCTTACCAGCTGTTAGGGTAGTTTTAGCACTCTGAATTAGGCTGGACAATCCCACAATTCTTGAAATACCTGGGGAAGGGGAAAGAGGAGGAGGAGGAAGAGGCATGGAAAGTAGGAGAAAATAAACAGAGTCAGATGTTATTCTTGAGATTATTTTTAAAAAGGGGTTTTAAACATTAAATATTATTCCAGAAACACATTAAACCACACTTTGCAGAATAACCAGATGATTATCCCACCAAATGCTGTAATTTTTATTTTGTTGGGAGATTCAAGTTTACTCGAATGTTTTTAATATATATTATACTGTATAATATAATGCACAAACATTCAAATTTTCTGTTCTGCGAAATGAAGTGATCTTTACAAATAAAATTCAAGTTTTCCTTGTAGTCAATCATGGCTATTTGCTGTTTCTGATGAAGTTATTAACCACATCTTGTTAAAAATTGTTGAAAGTGGAGACAAGAGGGGAACAGACAATCAATGTAAATGAACAAGGAATTAACAAGGTAGAAATGGAAAATAAAACTCAATGGAGTAAAGGCACAAAGAGAGTAGAGAAGAAAAAAGAAATTAGCCAAAAATAAAGAGAGAAATAAAGGAAGATGGGAAAGAAAAATTTGGGGGGAGAGATACTCAAAAATTCTATTGAAAAGTGAGAGGGAAAATACAAAAGAAAAGATATAAGACACATAAAAAGAAGAAAAAGAGAAAAGAAAATTTAGAAATAGGAGAATAGGAGAATGATATGATCCAGTAGAAAGAGATTGATAACAAGATAAAAATATGTTTTAATTAGAATGTGTGGGAATTATATTAAGAACCTTAAAGCTTATAATTATATTACGCTGATTATATAAAACTTGAAATTTGAAACTTGAACATTCATATTGTTAATGGAAAATAGATGGAAAATAAGTGATAAATTGTTTATTTTTAAAGAGTATGTGGTTAAGAATACTATATTGCAGCAAAGAAAAAGAGTAAATATGTCTTTGGTCATCCAGTGGTCTTTGGGATTGTTATAGCCCATGTCTGATAGCTTTGGTCAAGTTGTCTCAAAAAATCATCAGTATGCCTCACTTTCCTTAATACAAACTCATTGCCCTTTATCAGCTAAAATTGCTCTCACTGGGAGGGTCTTGAAATGCCCCCCTCAGGTGGCTCATAGTCAAAAAAAGAAGTAGAACCAAAAGTGGCAGTGAAAACCGCTAAATCCAAATGGCCAAGCTCCTGCTGCTACAGGATTAGAGAAGAACTAACAACCAGCATGCCTAGGCCTGTTTCCTTTGACTCCAAACAAGATTCGCTCATCTAACCACCCAAGCCCACAACAGCACCTGCAGTAGATAACATAATAAAAGGCAGAAAAACATGAAAGAATAAGGTTGCAAGGAAGAATCTTGTGGGAACAGTGGTCTACTAAGGAGCTACTCCGGACGTCTGCATTCTAAGCAAGAGTCATACACCCCAGCTAGGCTTGAAATAATATAAAATGACATCCATTGAGACAGTGAAGGGCTGTTGGTGGTCTTTGTCTTTACCTTCCTTGAATGCTGGTTCAAATCACACATCTGGACCACTGCAACTTAGTTTGTCTATTTTGACTACACTGTGCTTAATCCCTGAATATATTTACTGTTCTATTTTAGAATTCCAAACTACAAGACCTCTCAATCCCAAAATAGAGGCAATCTAATAAGTGACAATGGCCTGTATGTCAAAGTTACACAGAAAGGTAGAAAAACCAGGTTACTACCGCAGTAATTTTAGTACTAAGTCCCTTTCTTAAAAGGGTCCATGAAAGTTCATTAAGAACCCTGAAACTGACACAAAGGAGCTTTTTCCAAAAGGCAACTGGATTTCTTGGATTTTTTTCTTTGAAAACATTGCCCTTCAGTTCTCAACTGAACTGAAATCTTTTCAAAGAAAAATACCAAGAAAGTCCAATCGCGTTTTAGAAAAAGCACCTTTGGGGAAATCATATCCTGTGTGATTGAGAATCTTCAAACACCTTCAACTGAACACATTTCTCCCAAAGGAGACATGTGTGACTGGATGAATGCTGTGATAGTCATCAGGATCAAGTAAATAGTCCTTAAGGTATGTCTCAGTCAGGGAAACTGGGGGCCATTGCTGTCAAACTGGCAGCAATTACCTGCACAACCCACCCAGAAATCCCTTTCAGCTGAAACTAATTATAGTTTAATTCATCTAATTAGTCAAGAGAGTAAAGAGGCAGACATCTGGTTAAACTTTTCCAAGCAAACTGTCCATCTCTTTGCCCTATATTAATTGAAACCCATTTAATATAACCAGACTAGATGGTATGCTGGTGACCTTTCCAGGGTAACTTTCCCGACAACTATGGCTGTGTTGTATAATAGCCTACTTAGCAAACACCATGCTTGTAGCATTTAAGATTGGGGGAAATTTAGGCTGAGAGCTGGAATTTCTAAGTCTGTTACTGGGCATAACTAAATCCCAAGGTCAGCCTCAAATTCAGCCCTGAGTAGCTATAGTTTATTGGCTAAGACCCAATGAACAGCAAATGGGACATATCCAGTGATAGTTCTTCATATTATGGCAATTTGCTTTTGAGCCAAATCATCTGACATAGGAAATATTTTTTTAACAGTAAAAGAGTTACCAAACCCAGGCTTCTAAAGAAACCAACATGGTGCCAAAAATAAGGATGGGTGTACTTTTATGCAGAGTGGTGTATTTAGACCAGGGGTGTCAAACTCATGTCGTCACAGTAGTGTCATTTGATGTATCAGGACTTGTTCCCCCTTCACTAAACCCAGTGTGGGCATGGCCAGTGCATGACACATCCGGCTCGTGGGCCACAAGTTTGACAGTCCTGATTTAGACTTATCAGAACCCGGATTGTTGTTGGGGGCAATATGCTGACTCTGTAAACCGCTTAGAGAGGGCTGAAAGCCCTATGAATCGGTATATAAGTCTAACTGCTATTGCTATTGCTAATGTTAACATGGTAATCATTTCATGCAATTTAATAGACCAAGTGAGATCATTCAGAATGTTCATAACTCCCAGGCACAGTGCTGGAATTTCTAAGTACTTCATTGGACACAACCAGGTCCAGTCCACAAGTTCTGCCTGAGGAACTATAGTTTATTCAGATGGCTATTGGCTAGGACTCAATGAATGGTGCAACCAATGAATGGGACACACCCAGTGATAGTTCTGCATGCTCTATGGTAAGTGGTTTGTGAGCCAAATAACCTGAAAGAGGGAATCCAGAAGTAGAAATTGTAGGACAAATATACAGAGAAAAGCTTGTTAGGCATGATTAAAGCTTTGGCATAAGAACATAGCATTTTGAATTAGTCTTTATAGATTCTAAAATGGGCTGACACAAAAAATATCAATTACATCATCAGCTTTGACACCACTGCCCATTTCCAGCTACATATACTTAAATACTACGGATTCTGAAACTACTATATACAAGACTGATTCTAAAACATTCACTTCTGCAAATGAATTATCATTAAAACCTACCTTGGTGTACCACAAATCTACAGTCAGGGTCATGGGCGACCTGTAATAAAATTTCTTCCACATCTCTGTTCTTCCCTGGAGAATCCTTGAGAAAAGTTATTTTTTGCTGCAGGGTGCTTGGTAAAGCCATCAGTTGTGCAAACTGACCTTCTGGACTTTTATCTATCTAAAGATAAAAAAAGAGCAGACACAGCTTGTTTTCCTTCAACAACAACAACATAGAAAATTAGCAGCCACATCTGGAACCAAGTTGCCAGCCCATGCAGGTTATCTGCACTGGAGCACTGTCCATTCGCCACATAAAAGGGCACAGAAACTAGTTAATGCAGAAGGGAAAATATCAATGAATATGACGTGCAGGGACGTGCAGTCAGGGGAGGCAGAGCCTCACCACTGTCATCATGAAAAGAAAAGAAAGGCTGAGCTAGTTGCTGCCAGAATCACCATGGATGACTGCTTAGTGCTTCACTGTTTAAAAAAGCCTCTAAAAAAGTGCCCTCTACAGGAGGTGGCAGGAGAACAAGGTGCCTCATCTAGTTTGACTTTATGATCACTCGAGCAGAGCTAAGCAAGGATTAAAAGCCGAAAAATTCCTGACGTACATGAGGCACATTGTTCTCCTGCCTCCTGTAGAGGGCGTTTTTTTAGAGGCTTTTTAGAGGCTCTGGCAGCAACTAGCTCAGCCTGGCCTCAGCTCATGCCTTTTTCCTTTTACATTTTCTTTTCTTTTCATGATGGCAGGCAAGAGCAGAGTTGAAATCCTCTCTGAAACAGCTGGAAAATGTACGTGTAGGTCGGAGGGAGGGGGCGAAATTCAAAAAGTTTGATTGCATGCAGAGCCACGTTGCCTTTTCAAACACACACACACACACACACCTGGATAAAAGTATATAAGCCCAGCTTCACTGATTACAAATTTGAAAAGGCAACATGGCTCCACCTGCAATCAAAGGCTCGAATCGGAAGGCAGCAGGGGAATGGGAGAGGGGTATGGAGGAGCTGCTTTCAAGCCACTGGAAAATATATCCACTCCAACTTCTGTGTTTGTGTTTGTTTGAGAGTGAGTGAGTGAGAGAGGGATCCAACTTCTCTGTGTTCTCTGTGTGCCTGTTTGAGAGAAGGGAGAGGGAGGGAGAGAGGGAGGAAGGAGGGGGAGGGAGAAGAAAAAGAATGAAGTAAAACTTTTTTGCAAAGGCGAAAAACAAATGCTGTCACTTTAAATTGGAACTGAGCATGCCTGGCTGTGGAATTCTGGGAGCTGAAGTCCACAAGTCTAAAAAAAATTGAAACCCGAGTCAGTGCCTCACCAGCCATAAACCTCACCTCACGTCACTGATATGAGTACACCCAGCCCAGTAGAGCTGACTGATTTGACTCAAAATTGTATCTGCATTTTGATCTTCACTGTCACCTGCAAATGTTTTAAATACGAGACTAGACTTGGGTTTTGTTTGCATTCAGAAATTTACATATTTAAAGAACTTATATGATTATCTCACTCAATGAATCTAGGCTGCAACTGGTAAAAACATAAAAACACTTCCTACTCTTCCCAAGGCATCAGAATCACCCATGTTATTATTTTATGACTTTTTAAATTTTAACAAAAGATAAAATACAAGAAAAGGAAAAAGTGGGTATAGGAAAAACAAAAATGTATTTGCAGAAAAAGAAAAGAAGACAAAAAAAAAAGAAAAGAGTAACTTCTGACTTTCTTCAGTATAGCTACTAGCATAAAATAATAAATTTGCTCTAACATTAGCAATAATACATGGCACTTCTATAACCATAAACAGCTCCATCAAATCCCATAGTTAAAATTTCATCTCTTTCACTTTCAAGCAAAAAGTCCAAAAGTGGTTTCCAAGTAGACACAAAGCTTAGGCAAAGTCTTTTCTTTAATCAAAGCAGTCAGTTTTGCCATCATCTCTGCCAAATCTATTAACTTCACCATTGTGAAAATGTGTAAGTCTTTCTATTTCTGTTCATACGAAAGTCTCACTGCTAGAATCCCCCATATTACTGGCTCAACCCCATTCTAGTGCTATGTTTGGAGGAACAGCTAGGTCTTCATGGCCTGCCAAAAGGCTAAAAGAATAGGGAGACTTCAGATAGAAGACTATTCAAAAGGGTTAAGAGGGATGAGTAGTATCCAATGACAATTTTTGAGGAACGGGATATGGAATGTGCTTCACTCTATCTGGTTTCTGCCCTTCCAGACTCTTCTAGCCTCCAGGCAGTGAGTAAGCACCTGAATAGCATCACTTGTGCGTCACTTGTACAATATCATACTGGACCTAGTGCCACGAAATGACTCCATCCAGTTGCTTCATAGTACATCTTAACTTGGAGAGGAGAAAGACTAGAGCACCCCACATAAAAGTCAAGGGCTGGATCTTTCTTCCCCACCAACATTTCCTGGTAAGAGCCATGGAAGAAGCAGAACCACTTCAAAATAGTGTCCCCCCCCCCCCAATTTCTAATCACCTCAGATGATCCAGAAGCATACCATGGTTGATGGTACTGAGAGCTGTTGAGAAAAGAGCCAGGATGGGTGCATCACCCCAATCCTTTCAGAGGTCATCCACCTACATGGTTATCTACAAACCTAGAGCCTCTGAGTAGGCAGAGAAAAAGATATATGATATGACAGGATAAACGAAGAGACTTGTAAACAAAGGAAAATCTTAAATCTTAAGCAGATAGCCTTGGTCAGTTTATAAATACATCTTCAAAGACTGATTTAATTCAGGCAGAAGGTTTTTTTCAATTTTGAACTAATAATTATATATCATTTTCTATCATTTATAATCTACAACAGAATCAAGTTGAAATCGTTGCTAAATCTCATCATGCAGTTGTCATTTACGGCAAAAATGTCACTCTGTTTCCAAATGAGATTGGCCCAATAATCTGAGCAAAGCCAATGAATTCATGAAACATAGTTTATCTGAAAAGTTAAATTTTGGTATATGAAACTTGTTTAGTCTTCAGATAATTTGTTATAAATCTTTACCAAATACATGATTCTCACTGCTTATGTGGAATAATCATTTTTCCTGAAAACTGCTGTAAATTAAACCGGGATTCCTGCAAAAGCAGAATGTAACAAAATGGCTTTTTTTTTTGTAATGAATATTTTATTTCCATTTTCATTTTCATAACACACACTCACATGTATACTATACATAGCTCGTATCATACAGTATTAAATAATAATTACATCAGTTCTTCTTGTCAACAATGCCCAGAAAAATAGAAACCCATTATAGCTCTTCTGCTCTCCATACGCCTCTTTCTTCTACCACCCTGCAACTTTCCATCTTCCCTCCATCATCCTTTCCTCCTCTACT